TTCCAATTTTGCATTGATAAGAGAGCTAAAAGATTTCTTGAAGAGAGTAAATAAAGCATCTGATCTGCTGTTATTTGACAGCATTACATGATCCAGCGGGTTGGAGATGGTCATCTGCAGTGAAAGGAAAGGCTTCGTCTGACATTCGTTTCAGATCAAGAGATTGTAAACTGCAGTTTATAATCTCCTGGTGCAGATTGCATCCCAAGGGAATTCACATGCTACATAAGCAATCTTTAGTTCAAACTCGTAATTCAACTTCAAAGCCTCTCTAGCTCGAAAACATTCGTTCGCTTTTGTTGATTTGGGTCTTTTAGTCAAATATCACTGATTTCTTGTTATTGGGTTCATTTTTCTTTCTCTTTTTTATAACCAACTGGAACAGCTGCCTCCAAGAGCTTTCTATGAACTGACATGGCTTCAAGAACTGTGAGTAGAACGGTTAATACAGCTGTGACAGGACTACTGCTGAAATGACTCTCCTTAACGAGATACCGTGTTAGGATGTGTGCGAAAATGATTGTTAATGATATGGCCAGGTCTTAAGAGGAATGGGTATCACCAAACTGAAGTACACGATTGGCTAAAATCGATATTAATCATGGTCTTCATATTCCAAACCATACCGATACTCTAGAGCGATATGTTTGTAACATCTTTTCTTTTGAAGTAACGTGCGAAAGATTACGAAAGAAATCACAGAGTTCTTTTATTCAAAAGATTTTGGTCCTAATTTATGGGCCACCTACAGAAGCTCATTCAAATCTGAAAACCAAGTCATTGTTCCCGCTTAAACGTAAAAATGTCTTCACATTTTAACAACAGTTACTGGAACCTAAAGCAATTTTTTTTAAGCGCGTATTGAGAAGTTAAAATGGTGTACATTGAGCATACACGTTCACTGTGATGATCGGTCAAAGATCACAAGGCTGAATGAGAATTGATAGCTGGTCGTCGGGGCACAAACGGGCACTTAAAGTTATTTGCTTCTGTGGTTACTCTTTGTAGAAAAGTGTTTAACTCGAACCTTTTTCCAAATCGCTCATAACCACCATGAGAACTAAAATGAGAGGTGCGAACAAATTATAGACGAGATAGAATAAATATATGAAGTTCATACATTTTGAACTGCGGTATTAGATACGTATGATGCACGATCCTCGCAGTAGATAGCGCTATTTATGCAATAGCGGAAATTTATCAGTTTCACGGGTTTATTACGAACCAACTTAACGGCCTGCTCCCAGTTGGCTTGTTAGCTCAATTGGTAGAGCGCTGCACTAGTATCGCAGAGGTCAGTGGTTCGAGTCCCGTACAGGCCTGATTTTTTTCAGGTCTGATTTTCGCTATTGCATAAATAGCGCTATCTACTGCGAGGATCGTGCATCATACGTATCTAATACCGCAGTTCAAAATATATGAACTTCATATATTCATTGTATCTCATGTAGTGGCTAAGTGATAGATATCATAATACAATGAAGTGTCTTCCTGCCGTTTTTGTCCTAACAGAAGGTCTTTCAGCATTATGCATGGAATAAATATGTCCTTTGAGTCCAGCTGCTGCATATTGGAGATTCTTGGTCATATTTGATATTTGTTATAGAACGTTTACACCCATTATTAGGATTTTGCTTGTTTTGTTATATTTCGCATGATTAGCGGCGCACTAAGTGAGTTATTGGTTCTTTACCTCTATTAGAGACCGGTAGAATGTAACCGGAAATATTGTCAA